ATCGAGAAAATGTGATAAGCTATCGTCAAAGGGATGGTAAGTTATCGGGTATTTGTTGATAAGCTATCACTAAAATGATGATAAGCTATCGTGGATTAGGTGATAAGCTATCATCGAAGGGGTGATAAACTATCGAGAATTGGGTGATAAGCTATCGGAAAATAGGTGATAAGCTACCGGAGGAAGAGCGATAAGTTATCGTTGGTAAGGTGATAAGTTGTGATTATATGTGTTTTGTGCTTGAGTTATGAGATGAGCTATGCATGTTCTATGTTGTTTAAAGCATGAATTGCCATGGAAAATGGTTGCTTTAGTAAAAGGACTTGGGTTGCTATTTTTTAAAGAATTGTTCTATGGGCATATAAATGGTAATTCACAAGGAGTCGTGTTTGGATGCCAGGTTTTATGAGTTAAATAGGGCAATGATGTTTAAAAAGGAAATCGTGCAAAGTTTGATGGGTTGATTGTGTGTATGTGATCACGTGTGAATTTATTACTGCATTTTTATGTGTGGAAGTTGCAGTAATTTGTTGTGTGAGCACGAACCACATTTGCATTTGGCTAAATGCTAAGATATAAATGAGTTGTGTGGCTGTTGTGCTCGTGTAATCACATAAAGGAATCCGTCATCTAGTAGGGGTCTGGGGATGTTGCCCGATTAAGTTCGGATGCCCGGCGGGGGTCCGGATGCCAAGTCGCTGTTGAGATGGGGCCGATGCTCTTAATTGAATGTCGTCTGGGCGGGGGTTTCAGATGATGCTGTTCCTGATAGGGCAGGACGATGCCTGGTCATGCCGGAAAACCGACAACCTGATGCGAGTAATGCGGGTTGTGCCGTGGCCCTATGAGATCATAGTATTTGGAACACGCGTAAAAGAGTGTGGATGCATTGCGCTTGATTATGTGATGAAATTGTGAGGTATGGTATGGGACGGGTCAAAACGGTTTCACCTTATAATCGGGACTCGTGTGGATGCCGTGTGCATGTGAATGCTACTGCATGTTTTGATTGTATTATATGCTTGTTGCATTATGATTGCACATGATGGTTTATAACGTGCATGGCATGTGTGCCAAGGCAAAGTAAGAATGCCTGCGATTGTTTAATGGCACGTTTGTTTATGTTGGGCTGGATAGCCTGCTCGTGCGTATAGTTAGGGCAAAGTAGGGGTTGCTTTGCTATTGATCTACCGTTGATGTGTGGCTGCGTGTTTAGGTGCGCCCGAGGCGAGTTGGCTTCCTAACCGAGGCTTAGGCCGTTAACTTACTGAGATTTATTTCACTCGTTGTTGTTAACCATTTTTCAGGTGCTCATGTATGAGTACGCGTTGCGTTTCATGCGAACCGGCTGTTTTGAGGGGGGAACACCTTTTGAGGTTGTCCTCGTGGATAGAGGAGTTAGGTTAACCCCCTACCTTTTGTGGTTGTAATCGGGAAGGTCTGCATGATGAACTTGTAATATATTAATTTCCAATGTACTGCTGTTAATGTATGTATATAATTGTTGTATGTTTTCCTATCTATCCTTGTCGTCGTCGTCTGGAGATGTTGTGCTTCCGCATGTGCATAATTGAAAGTTAAAATGAATGGGTCGGCAACGCGTTATGGGACGTCGCAATTCCACGACCAAAGAAGGATGTTTGTGCGCTCGAGGGTTTGGGGCGTGACATTTTAAATTTACCCAAAACTAATTTTTTAACTACTAAAAACCTCAAACTGCTACATATATGATAAATTTACCTTTAACTAATTTTTTGAATACTAAAAACTCCAAACTGATACATTTGTGACAAATTTATCTTCTGTAAAATTAAATTAATATTTCGAAAAATCACAAATTGGTACATATGACTCTCAAACTGGTACATCTATCAACTGCCACGTGTCATCCAACTCAGAAATTTGACTGGTGAAATTTAACGAAAATTAATAAAGACGAAAATTGTCACAGATGCACCCGTTTGGAGTATTTTTATGGTTAAAAAATTAGTTTAAGGTAAATTTATCGCAAGCGTACCAGTTCGAGGTTTTTCGTAGTATTAACCTTTTTATAAAACATATTCTAACCGTCGATTCCTGAGTAGGTTTAGCACCAAAACTTAGAATCTACTCGTACAGTATTAGTTTAAAAAATTTGAAACTGGGAATCGGATCTATTTTTATGATTGAGTGGATCCCGTTCTCGGGTAGAACCAAATCGGCTGCACAAACCCTAAATTTGATCGTCCAAACCGTCCCCTGCTTCGGCCGTCGGTGGGTGGAAGTTTCAGTTTCCACCGTTGACCAGCCACGTGGCGAACATTTCTCTGACCGGAAGCTTCGGCTTCGCTCATCGGACGGGACACGTTAAGCTGGAGATTTCCTCGGGGTTAGCGCCGTTGACTCTTGACGGACACATTTTCCCTCTTTTCTTACGCTATTCGCCAAACTCAAGACCCCGGTCCATTTATTTATTTATTTATTTTTCCCTCCTTATTTCATGAATTTTCTTTTTCATAATTTACTCAATAATCACTTGCCAACCATCCTCGTTTTATCTCTTGGCCAAAGACCAAAGGGGAAAATCATGGTGCGATCCTGTCGTGTTAATTCCATTTCTTTTCGGTCAGAATGTTATTAAGTAGGTCCTAATTAGGCTTAGTCAAATGGAAAATGCAATTTGCTTTTCTTTGGAAAAAATATCAAAAATTTGAATTTTTTGAATAGTTTTTCTTTTTCTTTTTACTTCTATTTCTGCCGGTCGTCGGCCATAGCGACAGCCGGAGACCAGCCACATGCGATGTGGAGCCTCGGGTGAGGTCGAGCTAGCCCAAGGCCGGCTAGCTCGACCTTGACAGATCCAACGAACTCGAGTCTCGCTTGAGGCCGGTCGCACTTAAGACTTGCTTGTGATCGGTCGCTTGCCATTGCCGTGGCTGGTGGCTAGCCAAGGAAGAAGCAAAAAGAAAAAGAAAGAAAATAAGAAAAAAATTCTATTTTTTAAAGAATTTTTTTATAAGAACGAATGCTTTGTTAATCAAGGGGACCAGTTCAAGCGGCGAGGACTCGTGCAAGGCCTTTGTGGATTCCGGCCTTAGTACCGGGGACGAGAGCTTGTGCGTTGGGGACCCGAGCCCAGCTTTATGGACGTGGGCTCTGGTGCCGAGGCATAGGGCATGGGCATTAGGAGTTTGGGCTTGGCTTCGATGGACCCGGGCACGGAGGCCTGGGCACTGGGGTCCCGAGCCCGATCTTAATGGACCCAGGTCCGGCCTCCATGGACTCGTACCCAGGTGTTAGAGACCTGGTCCCAATCGGGGCGTTGGAGATTCGAGAACTAGCGTTGGGGCTCTCGTGTTCAAACGTAGAGTTTTGGATCTAACCGTCAATATTTAATCATATTTTGAAAAATATTTTTTGTATTTTTCAAAGGGGAAATAATTTTCCTTGAATTAAAACATAGGCTTTCCGTTGATCCATTTTCCTAAGCGAACCGAACACTAAAAAATGAAAAGAAAATGTTTTTCGCGAAACGAACGGAGCCGAAAACCCCGGAGAAAATGATGTATTGGACATAGCCGAAGTTGGAAGAGTCGTCATTTTGAGGGAGACGTGGGCATTGATACTAAAAGCATGGTTTAAGTTGCCCAAGAAAACGAATTAAACTTGTAGCCTCGCGGACTACCCTTTTTTTTTTTTTTTTTTTTTTTTGGGAAGAAACTAGCAATTTCTTCCTTTTTCTTTTCCTCCTTTTTTTTTTCTTGCAAAACTGAAAAAAGGAAAATAAAAAGTCGCAGCCGAAGTGGGTGGGTCCCACCGGGGTCTCCGACTAACGGAACTTTCCGGTCGTGCCACTGCCGTTACATGATTAGCGATCACGCAACCTCAAAAAAAGAGTGTCGCGAAGATTCCGAATATATCCTATTCTTGCTTGCGCAGTTGGTTTTCGGTCTAATCTTTCCCCTTTATTTTTTTTTGGCCTTTTTTAAAATCCACCATCCTCGCTGCATTTTAAAAAATAAAAATATCTATACTTTACCACATGGATTTCTGTGGAAGCGATGCTAAAATCACGGGAGTTTGTTCCCGAGGAAGTCTTCTTTTTACTCAATTTTTTTTTAAAAATTACGTTTAAAAATATATATATATTTTTTTAAAATTTGGATTGCCCTTGAAGTTTAGTACAATCCACACAAGCCCTTTTTCCAATTTGACCCCTTATTTAATTTTCAGTTTTTTCAGCCGCCCCGTCCGGAAGCTGTCTGTGCAACAATCTGACCAACTTCCTTAATTTCCAACAAATTAAAAAAAAAAAAAAATCATTTTCTGTGACTTTTTGGGTCTGAATTCCTCCTTTTTTTTTATTCCCCATTACGTGCTCCCTTAATGGGTTTCCGATGCTTTTGTCTTTGACGAAGTGGTTTGGATATTAGGGATTTCATGCATTAAGAGATGGGTTCTCGGTTTCACAATCTAAAATCACTCTCAAGCAAATAAGCCTTTGTGTAAAGATAATCGTGTTCGACCGACGATGTCTTATGTAACTTTCACGTTATACGGCAAGAAGGGACCTGGTCTGTGACCCGTTGATTCATTGAGCTCGCTAATCTCATAAAAATTGGCGATTTTCATCTTTATATCCACTTTATCAATTGATTAGACTAGTGCTAACCCTCGCAATCTTAGTATAAGCAAAAGCCGGAAAGAAAAGACTCCGAAATCAACAGACAGGATCGAAGGATTACGTAATTAAAATTTTTGAATCGAAGATGAATAAAAGTCATTTATGTAAAATTTTCTTTATGGTACTTGGTGCATGTCTAATTTTTCGAGATTTATTCGAGATGGGAGTCTATGGTCTTTGGAGATTTAAAAAAAAAAATTTATTTATGTTAAAATTAATTCGATATTAAATTATTAACCACCTCGAGAGCTCTCTCTTCCTTACTTCTAAATCTCTCAAGAACGTCCATCACATGTCACTCAGCTCACTAACCAGTTCATCAGTCCTTGAGTTTCCACCGTCTCTTTGCTTTCTCTCTCTCTCTCTCTCTCTCTCTCTCTCTCTCTCTACAATGCAGGTCCACCGCGCACCGCCGCACCTCCTGGCGGCACTCCTCCTCCTCCTGGCCGTCGCCGCCGCCACCTCCCCAGCCCGCGCGCTCAACATCACGACCATCCTCGCTGGCCACCCGGACTGCTCCACCTTCAACCACTACCTCAGCGTCACCCACCTCGCGGCCGAGATCAACAGCCGCACCACCATCACCGTCCTCGCCGTCTCCAACGCCGCCATGAACGACCTCCTCGCGGAGCACCCCTCCACCGCCACCCTCAAGAACATCCTCTCCCTCCACGTCCTCCTCGACTACTTCGACTCCAAGAAGCTCCACCAGCTCACCGACGGCTTCGCCCTCGCCGCCACCCTCTTCCAGTCCACCGGTTCCGCCCCGGGCTCCTCCGGCTTCGTCAACATCACCGACGTCAAGGGCGGGAAGGTGGGTTTCGCCCCGGAGGAGGGCGGCAGCAGCGACGTCGGGGTCTACTTCGTGAAGTCCCTGCAGGAGGTGCCGTACAACATATCGGTGATACAGATCAGCAAGGTACTGCCGTCGGCCATCGCGGCTGCGCCGGCTCCGGAGCCGACCCAGGTGAATGTGACGGAAGTGATGGCGGCGCACGGCTGCAAGGAGTTCGCCGACGCGCTGTCAAATAGTTCTGATGCCATGAAGACTTATGAGGTAATGGTATTTTACATTTTGTTTTTTTTTTGTCAAAAATATAAGAGTACTTAGTTTTTTTTTTTTGACAGATAAGAGTACTTAGTTTGAAAAGTTAGAAATGTGATTTTTTTTTCTAGTAACGAATGCGTGTTTTAATTACTAATCTTTATAGGATATAATGCTCTTTATTTCTATATGTTGCACACATCAAAAAGAGCATATAGAAGTGTGTCGATAGAGTGCGCAAATGTGGTGATTCTATATTAGAAATGCGTATTTTGCTAGTGGACTAAAGGGCAGTATAGATAGCTGCTGCAGAGTTATTTTCTTGTTTGAAGAAATAATTTATATAATTTTCTTAGTGATTTTTTTGGGTCTTTTCTTAAAATATAAGGGACATTTTTTTTCTTTCCTAATTTGACATCTTTGGTTTTCCTTTTAAAGCCAAATTAAAGAAATGGAATGAATTGATCTTCCAGCCCTTTCATATGTTTGTTTTTGTCTTTTGCTTTACCACCTTATGTGCAATATTCGGGTAAAAAAAGACAGACGAGTCATACAATAGAAAAAGATGGATTTTCAAATGAGCAGATCCAGGAACAAAAGCAGGTTTGGACTTGAAGGTCAGTCGACAGGGCCAGAAAAATCCAGTTTCATTTCTGGTGATGCAGAATTTTATGGCTAATGCGGCTTAATGATTCATCTTTTATACACATGCCATTGATCACAGAAACAGCAAGTTCTTATGTTCTATGCACAAATCAAATCCTTAACTTCTTGATTGAGTAAGATCAAAAGATAAAGTACTCATGGTTGCGTCTTTCATTGCTGATCGCGACTTCCAGGACAATGTCGTCGGAGGATTAACGGCGTTTTGCCCGCTCGACGACCCCTTCAAGGCATTCCAACCGAAATTCAACAACCTCTCCGCGGCAGACAGGGCCTCGTTCCTGGAGTTCTTTGCGGTGCCTATATACATGTCGATGTCCATGCTCAGGTCGAACAATGGGCTGATGAACACGCTGGCGACCGATGGGTCGAGGAAGTTCGACTTCACGGTGCAGAACGACGGTCAAGATGTGACCCTGAAGACCAAAGTCAACACAGTGAAGATCACAGGGACATTGCTTGATGAGCAGCCACTGGTAATCTATACACTTGACAAGGTCCTGCTCCCCCAGGAGCTGTTCAAGGCGGCGCTATCGCCTGCACCAGCACCGGCTCCGACGCCAGAGAAGGCAGCCGAGTCGCCAAAGGCTGCAGCGAAGCACAAGTCCCCACCAGCCCCACCAACGTCGGGGTCATCAGACGCGCCGGCTGATTCACCGGATGGTACTGTGGCCGACCAGACGGCTAATGCAAGTGTTAGGATTTGCTGTGGGAGATTTGGCTTCATGGCATTGAGTTTGTTGCTTGTGGTTTTGGCATTGTAGCCACCCCTTTTCTCTACTTTTCATTTTCAGGTAAGAGTGTGACTTTTTGGTGTTAACTGGGGAAGCTAACTTTTTCTTTTGTTTTTATTTTTCAATTATTCTTTTTTTTACTGAGTTGTTTTTGAGGTGTTTCTGTGAGCGATGAATTGTTTTGATGGCTATAAGCTTGGTTTAGATTGTTCTGTTGCTGATGGAAAATAAGAGTGTGGTTACTTGTTTTTCCAAAAGAGGAATAATTTGTGAACCATGTGATTTTGTGGGGTTTATCTCAAATTTAACAAAGTGCTAGCCAGAAACAAGCCCACGGCCACGTTGTTTCAGCCCACGTTGGTTACTCAAGCTAATGATTCCTGATTGATTGTCCTCTGTACTATGAACTATTTCTAGCATTTGCCGCAATTACAACTCGGTACTGGCATGCCAGTTCAGCCGAGCTAGGGGAAGAAGAAACTTTAGCAGACTAAATTACACATGAATTTAGAGTAAACTGGCACTTGGACAAATATCTAAAAGCACTATCCCCTCAGTAAGGTCTTAGCATTCAGATAGACGTACTGTAATCCGTTGTCAGAAATCGACCTCGTAGGTGTATCCACGGGGACGAATCGGGAATAGTCGTGGTTTGCTCTCGCTAAGCATATTTCAGTAATGCACTCACAGAGGTCATTTTGTTGGGCGAAAGGTTGAGCAGCAAAATCTTCCAACGGCAACCACTGCGAAGGGGGAAACAGAAAAGGCAATTAGAACAGGGGCTGGAATCGTGCGTATCAGCAGAATCGGGCCATTTATGGCACTGTGAAACATTCGTGTGTAACATACATGTGTGATGGAACGGAACAGTTCTCTAACGACTTTGAAGTGAAAAAGTTACCTGAGCTGCCTCGATCTCCAGATCTTGTTTCTGAATGTCAAAGGACAGCGGTCGCAAAATGCATAAGAAAAATAACTCCGACTTCTCAAAGAATGCTTTGTGCGATTGCCTAAGCGAGACATGAGCAAGTCGCACACGTATCAGAACTGTATTATTGAGCCAAGGATGGACATATAATGAGGTTCAAAGTGAACTTAAAGAGCCCTTTTGTGAATGCTCTTGTGGTGGCCAAGATGTGAATTTTAGAAGTACGGACCGACTATTTTACCTACTATTTCCTTACCTCCTTTTGATTTCTTATATACTAAACTTTTATTCCTTACGAGTTAATGCAGAGTTAGCGCCATAATAATGGTTCTTTGAAAGTATCATTAGCGTACAGTAATAAGCAAGAAACAGGTCCCTGACAAACTTTATCTAAACCCCGCCCTGCATCTGCATAAGTTCTTCTGACTGTGATTCATGACTTTAATATAGTTGAAGCTCACATAATTAAGTGTAGACGTAACTTAAATAAACTGAATACAGAGATAACTTACCTGAACAATAGGATCTCTTTGAACTCCGTATCAATCTGGACAGACGAAAATCATGTAAATCAAAAGGCGCATTAATGACCAAAAATCACGAGAACTATGGACAGGTACTGATATATACTTATCACTTACTCCAGTCTCTTCTTTCACTTCTCTCGTGGCTGCTGCCTCTATGTCTTCATCCTGTCATAATGAATGTCATTTAATATCAATGGACAAATCTTTAGGACGACTTTTTGTGCTGTAGTATTAGGATTCACCTCATCGACCACTCCAGTGGGGATTTTCCACAGACCCATTCCCTTTAGAGCGCCGCTCTTTTCCTGGACTACAAGTACCTGCCGACCAGTAATCGATGACATCAAACACCAGATTGACAAAGCCGAAATATCTGAACGTGAAATATTTGAATGAACGGACATGCTGTATATTAACTCGATTCTTATGCGAGAACATGCATGAAGTTCGCGTTAAATAACCAACAATAAGAATGCGTATCAGAAATTTTCGCATCAAAACAAAAGAGAGCAGATATTTCCAACACGATATATACAGCAGATGTTTGACCAGCATTAATAGTGAGACATCACCGAGGGTTCTATAATTTTGCAGTGACACTGATTTGCAGCTTGGTCTCCAATATGCAGATATTTATCTTTAGAGCACGATTATTAAAGTCCCTTGATATGTACAGCCAAAAAAAGAAGTCTGTCGACGTGTCAATGGTGCCTAAGCTAAAGAGATGAAGCGTCAATGAGGGTATTCTCTATGTCCTAAAAGTTTCTAGGTTTTAACCTCTGCAAAATTGAGAATGTTTAAGACACAAGACATCAACCCCAATGCTACTATACCTCTCTTTTGTCGTTCAAGACAATTGCCCCAACACGTACTCGGTGCGAAGCATTTGCAGGCAGCATGCAAGTACTTTCAGGAATCCAGTATGTCATCATGAGGTAACTTGGCTCAGCATGGTGGTATCGAAAGCCCACCTAATACAACATATGTAAAGGAAACACTTAAAATGCTCATAGGTGAAGCAGTATGGTAGATTAAAGCAATACAGCAAAACACCAGAACCCCTTTAAGAAGAAGGCATAATGTAGTCCAAAATCAATGCTACAACTTCCTCAACTGTTTCGTTATTCTAAACGCGCCGAACTGCTAAGTGGTGAAAACAGGACACCAGAACCAAAATCCACTATCGAAATAGATGAAATCACAAATTCTTTCAAAACACGATTAATCTGCAGCTTCTTTCCACTACATTGCCAGCTACAAACTTATCATACATTCAGCTAACCTATATTAAGACCATGTAATCGTTAACTGTCAAAAGACTTTGTGGAAACCAATATGTCAGAAGGATTAGAAAATTGAAACCTGTATGGCACTTTCGACAAGATTCGCGAGTTCAGGGGGAAATTTAATCCACACGCCCTTTTTTCCCTGCAAGATGAAGAAATAAATGTGTTTCAGCAGAGATTTAAATTGCTGAAGCCAGATTTAGCAAACTGAATATCATAGCTAAAACAACAGAGCATGGACTGCGCGAGTCTAACTGATAACAGTGGTCTATCTCACTAAGTGTGGACAAAAGAGTGGTCACTTCTCACAAGCATGAATTAGGGCAATTAATCAAACTGAGGTAGGCCTAGCTTTCAGGGGTTCACGGAAGAACAACCGAGGATTCCGCATCGCTAAATGATCGGGCGGGCAATTCCTAAATAAGCTTCAATTGCTTGCCAGGGCAATGACGAACCCAGAGGGCAATCCAAGCAAACTCCAAGTCCAATTGCAGCAATCAAGTTGACATCCCACGCAGCAAGAGAAATCAGGAACACGAGGTATCAAAACGAAGAGTTCACGTGTACCTTTCTCTTCCATTCGGAGATTGAGGCTCTGAGCCTGGCACCGAAGACCTCAGGCCCCATAGGGGCAGCGATCTCCAGATTCTCCACGATGACCCCTTCATGTTGGTCCTCTGTTGAAGGGAGCAAGTCATGATCGAACCCATTCTCGAACACTGTACCAACTCCTCCTGCCACATTCCCATCCATAGAAAGAGACATTTGGCTCCCAACCACAGACCAAGCTCTTCAAGCTCTCTCGCAACTTCGACGCAAGCTTGTCACTAACTGCAAAAACATGCACAAGAGATCACGGTGAGCAGAGTCTCCGCGACACATAATTGACGAAACATTCGACTGCATCAAAGTGGCTAAAGGAGTCGTTTTCAATAGCCAAGAACCCAACCGTTCGAACCCAGTTTGCTAGAAGAGAAGAAATGGGTCTTATCCATTTTTAACAAAACGAAAACGGTGGAACTTTAACAGACAAACAGATCATGACATGGTCGCACACGAAGGACCCTGTTCAAGGAACAATACTGTGAGATGGGTCGGCTCAAATTTTTGCAGGGCAGACATGAAAACGCCTGTCTATAAAGAGAAGCAACAGAAAACCACGAGAGACCTGATCTTTTGGCAAGGAAAAAGAGAAGGACTATCGAAGTCTAGACTTGTTTGAATGGAGAGATCGCCGAGATGCAAATACATGTGGGGGGTCACTACCTAAACTGGAGAGAGTGCGATGCGAGCAGCTCTTCCCGGTATGTGTTCGTGCGAGAAATAACTGTACGAAGCAGATGGTGGTAGGAGAATATGCGGGTGGGGTAGGACTATATAAGAGCTGCGAATGCGGGAAAACTCCCATGCGTGCCTCCAGGTGCGTTGATGACGCCATCCCACCAACTTGTTTCCGACGACGGCGAAGGTTGATTTTCTCAAAGTAGCTTCTAAACCGACCAGTTCATGAACCATCGTTGAATATCGATCTTGGTATTTCCGACTTTGCATGAGAAGAAAAGGGAAGGTACTTTCCACGAGCCAGTTTATCTAGCACGGCATATCGCGGTGTAATGTGGTTGTGTGAATCTTTCGATTGGATGATCGAGTTGGTTTGATTCTTGAATTTAGACGATGATATTGAGTAGATACCAATTCTCACCTAAGCTGCGGTCCGCCATATTCGACAAAAGAAGCTTGCGAAACATAGAAGTTGCATCGCATCGTATCCCCGAGAATGGATATTGAAAAGTGAAATGTCGACGTGAATAATTAACGGTTTATCCTATCACTTAAAATTAATTTTTTAGATCTGTCTTTCACAAAGAGGCACCTAGGCCCTATGTCAAGGACAAAAGGTATCCGGGCTAATCCGGCTAAAGAAATTGGCCAAAATAGCCATGCGTTGGTCAAGCGAACCATGTAATACAAAACCTTATCGTATCTAGAGTTTTTTGAGAGGCAACAAGGAAATTCACGTACTTGTATTCTAAGGGCTTTCTATCGATCTTCATCATTAGGTCGGATTGTAAATCTACGAGTGTGAAGAAATGGTGGGCTCGTGTCGTTTGGAATCATCCAAGTATCTTAGCAATACACGCATCTCGAAAGTCTCTCTCGTTAAAATTCCCTCAAGAGCAAGTGAAACTCAGGCAAAACAAGGCGAAAATCGAGGAGTAAAGTGCCGCACGGTCGCGATTTAAAGTTCCGAGCTCAGCAACACATGGCGGTGGCGTCATGGTCGTCCCCCTAATTGAGAAGCCGCCCTCTCTTTTTGGGGCTTATGGAGGAGTGGGACCGAACGAGACACTTTCTGTTTTGTTGGAAGCATTATTGACGCGAGTGCAACCCACCCCCGCCTCCCATGTTCAGCTCCTTTTTTGCACCCGTCCAACGAAATAGAAGAGTCTTATTCGGTTGCCTTTCTTTCTGAATGAAATTGTGTCTTGTGAAATTCGGGGAAAAGTCCCAAAAAAGTCTTAAACCTTTTACATTTGTGTCAATTTAGTCTTAAACCTTTTTTTGATGCCAATTCAGTCCTAAACCTTTTGCATTTGTGCCAATTCAGTCCTAAATTTTTTGTACTTGTGCCAATTCAGTCCTAAACCTTTTGTTTTTGTGCCAATTCAGTCATTCCGCCCAATTTTGGCCTGATTTTGCTGATGTGGACGTTGACCGGCCAACGGCGGTCACCGGCGCTGACGTGGACAACTTTAATAATATTTTAATATTTTTTGAATTTTTATTTCTTTATTTCTTTTCCATTTTTCCCCCCCCTCCCCTCCCTCCTTCCTCTAGCCGGTCGCCGGACCGGCGATCGGCTAGAGGCCAGAGGCCAGCGCCGGCGAGGCTCGCCCTCATCAGCGACGGCGAAGGCGAGCCTCACCATGGCTGGGCGAGGCCCGACCTCACCGTCGCTGGCGAGGGCGAGCCTCGCTAGTGGCCAGCAAGGTTGACCTCGTCGGCACCGGCCTCTGGCCGGTCATCGGTCCGGTGACCGGCTGGAGGAAGGAGGGAGGTGAGGGGAAAAAAAGAAAAGAAAAGAAAAGAAAAAATAAAAATTCAAAAAAAATATTAAAATATTATTAAAGTTGTCCACATTAGCACCGGTGACCAGCCGCCGACCGGCCGGCGTCCACGTCAACAAAATCCGGCTAAAATTGATCGAAAGGACTGAATTGGCACAAAGACAAAAGGTTTAGGACTGAATTGGCACCATGAAAAAGGTTTAGGACTGAATTGGCACAAAAAAAAAGTTTAGGACTAAATTGATACCAATCCAAAAGTTTTAGGACTGAATTGACACCAAAAAAAGATTTAGGACTAAATTTGCACAAATGCAAAAAGTTTAGGACTTTTTTTGCCCTTTTCCCGTGAAATTCTAGTGGAGCTTGCATTCTAAGTAGGATCATAACTTAGTAATCTCACTCAGCATTAGGATTCGCCTAGAAAAATAACCCTTTTTTTCCGGCGAGCATATACGATAGTTTACGAAATTTCCCGGGTGCATTTGGTGTGAATTTCCCACCCCCTCTGGACCCGAGCAACGGCTAATCGCTCGGTATGCGCAGAAAGCTTCCCTAGGTCAAGTCCAATCAACAAGAGTGGGAATTCAGAATTCAGTCTCAAAAGCACGAGTTGAACCCCAGGTCTTGTCTATGGCCAAAAGGATCACTAATGAATCGTGTCAAATGAACCTGACCATGTGTACCATTGACCAGGGAACGTGGGACACGGCCAAATGCTTTGTTTTACATGGGTATCATCGACTTCGTTCGTAGATGGCTTTTGTTGCTTTTCTTCTTTGCTGGGCGGGTTAAGCAAGGCACGTGCAATTTACACGTATTTGCACAGTGGACTTACAAATTGTGAATTCCTGTGCACTTTTTTTTTTGGTCTGATTTTCTCTGGTCAAAGATGTTTGACCCAAGTCAATCGATGGGAATCCTGCTTTGACCCAAAGGGGAAAATCCAAGTTCAAAATGCCATCCATTACTGGGATTGCGTGATCTCTGTATTCAGACTTGAAGATGATATGAAAAAGACTCCGCACTTTGTCATGTAATAATCACACTTTAAAAAACTCGTTGAAGATTGGTAATTTCTAGAAAGTGTACATTAACATTTGTAAAAATAAGTGGCTCTCTCTTTTTGGCCATAAAATGTGTGACTTTGATAAATTGGGTAGACTAACGATGGAGGCCAACGATAACCAATAATTCCCATCTGAAGATCATGTACTACTTCCCCTAACAAATTCAGTGAGTTTTAGTAGCCAAAAAAAAAAAAAAAAATTCAATGAATTTTGAAAAAGTTGGAGGGTGTCATTAATAACACCACAACGAGCGATATTTTGCGCGTGTAATCAACCCCATTATACTACAATTGTTCATATGGGAAAATCTCACAAAAAATTTTAAGCTTTTTCCCATGAGATACCAGTAACCCAAATTTGTAAAAGTGACTTAAAAGTACTTTTCGTCACAAATCTATCCATAATGGCCCGTTAAAAAACCCGATGCGACATCATGCATGGACAGCGCCAAGTCGGACTTTGAGTGTTTGTGAGACGAGAAAGAAGATCGGTGCATTCACGTTCCCGGAGAAAAGTTTAGAATCGGTTGCGAAATCATCTCTTATTATATACACGTGACTAGTCATGTTTCTATCCTTAAAGGTCCAAGTTCCACTAAACAAAGGCTAATTGGGGTGCAAGTGTATCAGATACGAGATCACTTGAATAAACAATTGCATCGAGTCAACCATTTCTCGAAGTGGGTTGTGTGATTGTCCCAACCCCGCCTCTTGTTCCTGGCAAAAGCAAACCGACTTCGAGAAGGGATTATCTCGATTTTTTACTGCAATTGCCGACCCTATTCTGATATTATATTGCAGAAGATTCTCCCAAAAATAAAGTGAGGAAAAGAAAAATTGCAAAAATTAAAACAAATTATGGTGGGAAATGTGAATGATGGTCCCCGGGTCAATAATTGCCCTTTGCAGTTATGGGCGTGAAGCAAAAGAGCATTCACACATCGTTACAAAGCTTGAACTGCTCAAGACAAGATCAAGTGGTAGATATATCACGTGAAAATTCACTGGAGCAAGGAAAAGAAGGATTTGATTTTTTTTTGGCCAGTCGTATGTCTAATTCTCCTCACTTTTTGACTTTTGCTCTGCCTCTTGGAAAGCGCGGGAGTCGAATTCCGCACTTGTGATACTAGCGTTCCCACCCTCCGATCCCTTTACCAGTAAAGCTGCATGCCAATTGACAAACGAAGATTTAATTATTAAGTGTATTTTTGTCACTAAAGTTTTATGGGGTCCTACCTAAAGCAAAATAATGTGATTATGCTTAGGCTTTTTGGGATGGAGGGATCTCTTTCAAAAATAAAAAGGGATATAAATCCACCCATAAAGTGTTAATAAAGTCTTTTATTTGTCTTTTGGGTGTATGAACACCAGACTTAAGACTGTTTTTTGACTGAAGATATAGATAAGAGATGGTTCAACTTTGATGAGTGTGCTACCCCAAAAATAAAAAAAACTTTGATGAGTGGGAATTTTTTTTTTTTGATTAAGGCTTGACGGTGTATTCGCGTGCAGTATAAATGGCTTGCCGCGGAGGAGGATAAAAAGTTTAATTTAATCTTTCTAGAGGACCGCATTGTATGGAAGTCACGGATAACTCTTCTTTCGCCTATCATGGACATTACACAAGTGTCGTCACGTGATCCTCCTCCAAGAGAGTTCGCCGGTAGTTCGGTTTTTACATATCATAAGCACGCGAGCACGAGATGACGGGATTAAGAGGTGACCAAAAGACTTTGATTATCACATTGATAATACCATCTTGCAAGCAGATACAGTTAGGGGGGGGGGGGGGGGTGGGAATAGAAATCAGTTTTGGAGGCAACCCTTGTGTATCTTTAAATTCAAGGGAGCACAGACCGTTCGTTTATCGAATCGTTTATTGAATGACACGCGACGAAGCACATATGCTCGAGATAATTATTGTCACCATAGAGCTTAAAACTCAAAGTCTTTAGCTCGAAACACGGCTTCTGGTGCGTTAGTTTGATTCTTTGGGTTGCCCTAAACTCGTCAGGCTGAATTACGCGTCAACCAAGAGGGTTTACAGGGGCGAGTAGTCAAGGTTTTTGGCTTTGGTTTTTTATTCTTCCTGTCGATTCTTCATCGACCCTTTCGTGGGGGGAGTGTGCCTTCCTGGTCTTCCATGTCCCATTGATTGATGACAACTTTGACCAGGGATGCTGTTTTTTGGAATTTCTTCGAGGGGGTGTACGTAAGAAAACAATGTGGTCAAAAGTCAAAGAACTGTCTTGTTGTGTGGGCTACAAGTAGTTTAG